GACCGTGACCTACCCGACGACCAGAGTCATCGGATCCACACTTTGCAATCCCACGTCGCAGATCTCGAGGCCCAAGTTGCCCCGTTGGTCGACCAGTGTGACCGGCTGACTTGAGAGCGCAATGATCTGCTCCGTGAACGCGATGATCTGGCTTCTCACCGCGACGGCTTGGTCGTCGATGTTCAACAATCCAGTGAAGAAATTTCGGATCTCCGTGACGAACGTCAGCGTGGCAATATTGCTCGTCTCGAAGGATCGTCTTCGGAACAGCGAGGAGATACTGAGGCTCTCTCGAGCCGAGATCACGCGGATGGGCGCGGATCTCGCCTCCTCTGGTGATGGCAATCTCAAAGCGCTGCTCACCCAACCAAGATCGAGCGCGATGCCGCCCTCCGGAAGATCCAGATCCGGCAAGACGAAGTCGCATCCCTGAACCAGAAGATGCAGAAGACCGTCCAGGACCAAGATCACGAGCGCAAGCAACTCGCAGCGGTCAAGCAGAAGCTCGAGGAAGTCACTCGAGAGCGTGATCGCCTCCATGTTGATGTCACTGCTCGGGGTTAGTATCTTGATCCGGTATATATGTCTGCAATATCATCTCACCATGTCTCTTATGCACAGATCATGATGTAGCCGTTGCTAGAGAGGCGTATGGACAGCGGGAGCGTACGTTTACTGAGAGTACATCGCGGATCCAGGCCCTCTCCATCGATATCGACATCATCACTGTGGATCGGACGGATCTCCGACAAGAACTTCGTCGGACCTTGCGCATACTCGGCCGGATCGCTAGCGCCATGGTATCTTCACCTCCGACCACCTCATTGAGTCTTGGCTCTGAGTCGGACAGGGATCCATCTAGTGAAAATGACGGAGGCACATCACCTAATGATCCCGACTCCGAATCTCCACCTACGGACAACCTTCCGCCACCTGAGTCAAAATCACTAGGAGATGGTAAGGATCCGCCCACTGGTGGATCTGATCCCCCCTCGAAGAAGAGTTCCAAGCGATCGCGCAGCCCGTCTTCTTCATCCAGTCCCAGTCGTCTCTCCAAGTGTAAATCGCAGCCCCTAGTTGACGAAGATGACGAAGATCTGGTCGAGAATCCTGCGGATATCGACGTGGGTGGCAGATTCCCCCAGGACGACGATCCAGGTGATGATGTGTCTGGTGGCCAAGACTACAAGAAGGATCCGGGTCCGACGGACTCATCTTCCTCATTGGATCCGCTCGGTGCTTCCCGAGAGCTCGGTGGATTCGGTAGCTCGAGCAGCGATAACACACCGCCCAAGCGCAAACCCGATGGATCCGCACCATAGTCTCAGGGTGATGATCCGCAGCCGCAGATCCTGGATCTTACCGGTGGTGATGAAGAGACCAAGGATCATGACGCCAACGATGATGAGGATCATGGGGATACCACGGATCCGGACAGCTCTGCTCCCTCCATCAATCACGAAACGGAGGAGGTTGAGAATTATATGCTCGAAGAAGACACTCTTCGAGCCAACGCTCAGTCGAGATCTGCCCAACGTCGGCGTGATCACGCATCCCTGTGTCGTTCCGGTGGTGGCAGAGGTGGTGATCCGGACGATGATGGACCTGGCGACGACGACAATGATGTCCCCAATCTCCCTGCTGAACGGCCGGCTGGTGATCGCCCGCCTAATCTAGCCATGTTACCCCGGGATCCTCTCGCCGACGACTTGTGCATTCCTGGACGCACCCAAGTTCGTGTATTCTCGGCGGCTGACATCGACCCTTGGATCCTGGATGATCTGTGTCGGTAGTCGATCATGACAATGACCGTGGATCTTCTCGCAACCGCGTTGCCATTCCGACCAGAGTGGATATATCCTCACCATACGCCAAGATCTCGACCTCCCTCGGATGCGGATTCTTGCGCTCATCTGGTCACCGCCTACAACATATGAAGCTCTCCTTGACGAATCCCCTTGGGAGATCTTAGGTGGTGGCAACGTGCCTGACCCGATCTGTTTCGAGATCCTAGTGGGTGGTCGACTCGGTGTCTTCCTGGATGAATACTCGCAGTTGGAGCTTCGTGATCTCATTGTATATTGGGAATCTACACACAAGCTTCCGATCACCAAGCGTATGTGTGCAGATGATTCACGTCTGGCGGTTCTCTATAAGGCGCGCAACAATCGGTGATCACACGCTGGCGATCGCTGGCGCAGGATCTTGCCCATATTCGTTTTGGCCATGCAGGAGAGTTGGTGTGATCTCGACCTCTTACTGGATCCATATTTCTTACATTTTCCAAAGAGATCCGATGAAGTGACTTGGTACCCAGGGATCGAAGCGCGTCGCGCTGGTCGTCCGGGTCCGGCCAACCTGATTGATGCACTTGCTGAGTGCGACGAAGCGGATCCCTGGCGCAATCATTACCGCACTTCTGCGGCTGATCATCCTGCGCATCGGATCCCTCGGCTGGTGGAGAAGTTCTTCGGCATGGAGAGCGCCCGACACGACTCGCCCACGGATCCTAGCACGCCTGCCGATCCTGAAGAACCAGCTGGATCTGCTGATCTAACCGATCTGTGATCTTTCCATTAATACATGTTCTCTTCCGTTCCTTCCACTGATCGTCCACACCTATTTTGTGCTGAGTCCATACCTCGTGATCCACTTCCATATTATCTCAGATCTTGCATAGTCCATACTCCGTGATCCACTTCCACATCATCTCAGATCTTGAGCATACTTCGTGATCCGTCTCCTTAGTGTCTCGGATGTTGCCCTTAGTAGATTTCGGCACACTGTGGTATATCCAAATATGTACCTACCTTCATCCGATCTGCAGCCTTCCTGAAGATCCTTCATCTCAAACATCCCACATTGGCGGCCAACTCACCTATGCGGATCTTGCCCTCAGGCCTCTTCGTGAGATTGCATCACGCCGAACCGGTTCTAATTGGCGCGATCCCGCAAAAACTCGTGAAGTATTGCTCCACAGTTGAGGTCTGCCTCATCGATCCAGGTCGGATCCTCGTACCCCCGCCAGTGTACTAATAATTCACGCAAGATCCGACCATACCTTGTCTTCCTGCCAGTCCCCATATCCGAGATCATCTCGACTTCATACTCGTCCGGATCGCGAACTTGGGTCCAGCTATCTCCGGGAAGGAGTGCTTCGTGGAAATCCAGGCGATCTTGATCCTGCGTCACAAGTCGTATTACCGGCCGATCAGGAAACTCTCTGACAGGTTGGATCTTTGCCACATGGACTATGGGGAAATTATATGCGGATCCGGTGATCTCAAGTTTCACCGCATACTCGCCGATCTTCTCGGCCACACGGAAGGGGCCATGCCACACATGCGCAAGCTTCTTGGTATATCCCTCTCGCACCCGATCCAAGTATAACCACACTCGGGATCCGACCTCCACCGGATGTGGGCGCACTGTGTCTTTGTGCTGATCCGCCCGATCTGAGATCGCCTCCCGTAAGCACCGATACACCTGCTCCCGTGCCTGTTGGTAATGCCTCTGGATCCGATATCGCCACCTCCGTGGATCCCGATCCTGTCTTCGTGTACTTCCCATCGGGATCACTGCCTCCAATGTGGATCTCTGATCCCAGCCATGAACCATGTAGAAGGGCGTCTCTCCACGGATCCGATCCCGAGCGGTGTTGATCCCGAAGGTAAGTCGCTCTGCATACTCATCCCAATCTCGCTGATCCAGATCTTGGACATACATCTTGAGTGCTCTTATGGTAGTCTGTACCATCCTTTTTGCGGATCCGTTTGCCTGGGGTCTATACGCCATTGTTGCGCGTTGACGCTGATCCAGGATCTTATTAATCGCACGAAAGAAATCGGACATAAATCCGGGTTCTCGACCATGGCGGATCACCTCACTGGCGCCAAATCTGCGAAACACACATTCCTCATAGGATTCTACCACGGTCTGGGTTGTCCTGGATCCGCTCGCTTTAGCAATCGCATACCCGGAGAAGAGATCTGCAAAGATCAACAGCTCAGTATTACCCTTATAGGATCTGGGCAATGAGGGGATGTGGTCCATGGCGATGTTCTGGAATGGATAAATCGCTTGAAGATTACCCGGCGACTCGCCCTGGATCCGGGGTCGCACTTTTCCAGCCTCACAATCCACACACTCACCGACATATCTTTGCACACTTCGGTACAATCCTCTCCAGTGAAAATGATCCCGGATCCGATCGTAAGTGCGACCGATCCCTTGATGTCCACCATGGAGACTGGTGTGATAATGGTGTAGAACATCTTGATGCAGCGTTTCAGGTAACACTAGTCGCATCAATTTGTCCCGATCCGCAGCTGATTCCTTTGTAGTGGGACAATAGAACAGGAGATCGTGCTGGTCCACTTCATAATTCATTGCGATGGATCCGCAAGATCTGGCCTCTTCCTGTGTCAGATCACGTATTTCGCCAACCAGATACTTCTTCAAATTGTGGATCCACGCCTCCTCGTCCTGTGTCTACCGGATCCGCTCGATCCTGAGCTCTCTGATCACTTCTTCGCACAATACCGGGGGATTGGATCCCGATCTCACACCGGATCTGGCCTACCTTCGATCTAGTAGTAACGGCTGAGATCTGCACTGCCGGATCTCTGGTTTCACCACCAATATCTCATCCAGTCTGTTCAAGGTGATCAGATCCGGAACTTCGCTATCGGTTTCGACTTCGATCCCGCACTGCCGTTGCAATGCAGCACTAGCCAGACTATCTGCACTTCCATTCCAATCCCGTTTCACATGTACCAATTCATGATCCGGCCGGTTCCGCAATCTGTCCAACGCCTTTTGCCTTAATAACGTGAATCCAGGTGCCTTGCAATCGATTTCTCGCCTAACTTGGCGGATCACCAAGTTTGAGTCGCCACAGATCACCAATCGCATCGCATCCGTTAGATCGTTCCTTCCAGCAAATCAAGACATAACAAGAGGCCGTGAAATTCAGCCTCATTGACAGTCAGACCCTCGGCATAGCCGGATCTGGCCTATTCCTTCCAGCAAATCAAGACATAACAAGAGGCTGTGATATTCAGCCTCATTGACAGTCAGACCTTCGGCATAGCCGGATCTGGCCTTCACAACAGTCCATTCAGGTAATTTCCACAGGATCGCGCTGTAGGCGCCTCCCCCTCGCTTGACACGGGCGGATCCGTCGAAGCTAGCAACATACAGATCCTCATCCGATCTCACTGTCGGGATCGGGGCCTGGATCTTGCGCCTCGGCTCCTTCTTCGGGGTGATCGAGATCAGTGCTTTGTCGACATCGGATCTGGGTGTGATACGGGCTGCTAATGCACCCAGGATCTCGTCCTCGCCCTTGTTACACTTGACGATCTCGAGGATCCAGGGTGAAAGTAGCGCGGCCCACTGTCCCAGGCGTCCTTGTAATGCGTTGGACCTAAACAACCAGGCCAGCGTGGAATGTCGCGTCAGCACTCGGATCGGCCTCCCAACTAAAGTGTTATAGTTGAGATCCAGGACCCGCAACACTGCTAACACCTCTTTCTCTGCGATCCCATAGTTTAATTCGTTCGACTTCAGTGTACGGATCGCGAACATCACTGGATAGTAAACCTGATCATATTCTTGCATCAGTGCACCGGAGATCGCCCAATCACTGGCATATACCACCACCACAGCTTGTCGATCCGGATCGAACTCCCGCAGGATCGGCGTTTTCGCGATCTTCTCCTTCAGCACCTTGAAGGATCTGTGAGCATGGACCCACCTGGGGTCCAAATCCGCAAGATTGTCACTCTTGGGGTTCGACGTCTTCACACAATCAGGCGTCGGATCCCGTGGTGCTAGGTTCGGATCTTGATCGTTAAGTCCGGGATCCGGACCCCGCGGGCTCGGATCCGAAGGTTGTGGACGCGTCGGATCCTTAGTCAATATGTCTGGATCCGGGGATTCCGATGCTAGTGCTAGCTGGATCCGACTTCGGTTCATGCCCTTCTCCATCGCAGCATAGTCGATCTCCCTCAACTCATACAGCACAGACGCATAAACCGCGTTATCTTCGATGAAGCGACTGTAATAGTTGAGGCTGCCCAAAATGGATTGCATGGCACGCAGGGATCCGGGAAACTCGAGATCCGTCAACGCCGACAGATCCTTCGGATTCGCCTCCAGTCCGTCGTGCGATACCTTGTGGCCCAGATATTCTTATTTGGGCATGCCCCAGAAACTTTTGACAACACTGATCGACAAGTTCCATTTGTCGCACGCCTCCAGCAGATCTTCGACCCGGTCGCATAGCTGATCCCAATTGTCTGCTGGCACCAAGATGTCGTCGATGTAGGATCTGC